AGAGCACCAATTTCCCATTGCCATTGGGTCCTGAGTGTTCCTCTGGTTCCCGTCACAGAAGAGAGCTCAAGGCTCAGACACAGGTGTAGCTGATGAGAGAAGCAGAGCTGAAAATTTGGCTTTGGCTGCTTCACTGCCTTTGTCACCCTTTGGCACGGATTTGGCTCTGCCGAAGGAAGGTTGATTTAGGATTATTCTGAGCCTCTGGAGGCATGATTATTGGGAAGGGCTATGGGGGATTCAGAAGCCTAGGTACACCTGCTGTTTAGTAGGGGATATTTCTTTTTGTACTGTTGTATTCTCCAAGCAGAAGCTTTCTCTTCATGAGTGATTGATATCATCTCCAGGTAGGAAGCTTATTTTTAAGTTATATGGCTCCAGCTTATTGAAAGCCATCTCTATTCAAATATAAACAGGGGACTTGGGGGGTGGGGTGGTTCACCACCTTGACTAGAGTCAGGGACTGAACCTGAATTATGCTTCCATGGGGAAATGGTTATTTCATATGACTTGGAAGACAGATGTTCCATGCCGACCCAGAAGATTGGAGGTAGAAAAGTATCTCCCAAGGTAGGAATTCCCAAAGTACTTTCCCCAAAGTAGGAATTCTGAGTTTCTGGGGGAGAGTGACTTATGCCAAGAACTAGTATTATAAAAGAACTAAGTGGACAGACATTCTAGAAGACTTAGAGCTAACCTATGGAGACACATGAAAAGCAAGGAAAGAAGGAGTGAGAAGAGAGCCGCAGTGAACTAGTTAGGATGGCTGAACTCAGGCATCTCTCCGAAGCCCCAGAGTGGCATAAGTGTCCAGTAAACATTATTTTAGTGAAAGAATTTTAGAATAAAAAATCAGAAAGAAGCTTTTAGTGTTAGGGCTAAGGAGAAGAAATAATATGAGGGGAGCACCAAGAGATTTGACTTGTCTACAAATCTGATGGGTAACTGCTTAAAGCAATAAGACACATTGGTTTAGATTTGAGCTTTGAAGGAAGAATGACTCTTCTACTGAAGGAATGAAGGACTTGTGTATACACTGGGTTTGGTGTATTAATTAGTTGATGCTACTGTTTGAATGTCTTCCCCGCCAATACTCATTAATATGTTGGAAATGTAATCAATAAAGCAAATGTTGAGATGGAGGATAAACAGTGTTTTGGTCACTAGGTGTGATTCTGATGAACAGATTGATACTTGTAGATTGGTGTTGCTATTTCTACTCTTCTGCAATGTGAAGACACAATATTCATCTTTTTTTCCTTGTCGGTGTTATGGAATATTATAACTATGTAAAGATGTGTTACATTTGTTTATGCTTCACTATATTACTTTAACTATGTAAAGGTGTGTTACAGTTGTTTATGTTGTATTTTTTTTAACTAGGCAAAGACATGTTACATTTGTTTAATTATGTAAAGAAGTGTTGCTGTTTTACCTTGCCTGCCTAAGGCACCTGATTGGTCTAATAAAAAGCTGAACAGCCAACGGTTAGGCAGTAAGGGAGATAGATGGGGCCGTTGGGCAGAGGGAATAAGTAGGAGGAGGAATCTAGGCTTGAGAGAACAAGAGTGAAGAGAACAAGGGGAAAAGAGAGGGAGATGCCTGGGGCCAGGCAGGCAGGCAGGCATGGAGAATGAAATACAGAATGAAAGAAAGGTAAAAAGCCCTGAGGCAAAATATAGATGAAGAGAAACAGGTTAAAATAAGTTATAAGAGCTAGTGGGACAAGCATAAGATAAGGTCAATCATTCATAACTAATAATTAGACTCTGTGTCATGATTTGGGGGCTGGCAGTCTGAGAAAGCCTGCTACATGTCTGTCTCACACCACATGAGAATCTCAGATGCCAGAAATATGAGAAACACTTTTGTGTTCATTATAAATTTTCTAGTCTCAGGCATTCTATTATAGCCAAACAAAACAGAACAAAGCAGTAGAGTTGTATAAGAAAAAAAAAAAAAGAAAAACAATGACATCATGAGGTTTGCAGGCAAACGGATGGATCTAGAAAAAAATCATCCTGAGTGAGGTAACCCAGACTCAGAAAGACAAACATGGTATGTACTCACTGATAGGAGTACTAGATGTGGAACAAGGATGACTGGACTGCTACTCTCATCACCAGGGAGGCTACCTAGAAAACAGGACCCCAAGAAAGACACAGGGATCATCCAATGACGGAGAAATGGATGAGATCTACATGAACAGCCTGGACATGAGTGGGGGTAATGAAGGGCGAGGGTCGAGGGAAAGAGAGCTTGGGGGAGCAGGAGATCCTAGCTGGATCAAGAACAGAGAGGGAGAACAAGGAATAGGAGACCATGGTAAATGAAGACCACATGAGAATAGGAAGAAGCAAAGTGCTAGAGAGGCCCACAGAAATCCACAAAGATACGCCCACAATAGACTGATGGCAATGGTCAAGAGACAGCCCGAACTGACCTACTCTGTTATGGGATGGCCAAACACCCCAACTGTCATGCTAGAAACCCCATCCAATGACTAAGGGATCTGGATGCAGAGATCCATGGCTACGCCCTGGGTAGAGCTCCGGAGTCCAATTAGCGAGAAAGAGGAGGGTTTATATGAGCGAGAATTGTTGAAACCAAGGTTGGATAAAGCACAGGGACTAATAGCCAAACAAATGGAAACACATGAACTATGAACCAAAGGCTGAGGGGCCCCCAACTGAATCAGGCCCTCTGAATGGGTGAGACAGTTGATTGGCTTGATCTGTTTGGGAGGCATCCAGGCAGTGGGACCGGGTCCTGTGCTCATTGCATGAGTTGGCTGTTTGAAACCTGGGGCTTATGCAGGATCGCTTGGCTCGGCCTGGGAGGAGGGGACTGGACCTGCCTGGACTGATTCTACCAGGTTGATCTCAGTCCTCGGGGGAGGCTTTGCCTTGGAGGAGGTGAAAATGGGGGGTGGGCTGGGGACAAGGGGAGGGGGGCAGGAGGGGGAGAACAAGGGGATCCGTGGGTGATATGTAGAACTGAATTGTATTATAAAACAAACAAACAAACAAAAAACAAAACAAAACAAAACAAACAAACAAACAAAAAACCAGACAGTTTACCTGGAGAGATTCTAATAGGGGAACTACCTCCAGCAATGCACTCAGGGTTAAATCAGTTATATAGGACACAGAGAGGCAGAGAATGGATAAGGAAACACAAGTGAATATGAACCAGCAGAATTGGCTATGAGAGGAAAAGAAACTAGTGAGTGAGTGATTCCAGGCATTAGAAGTCTATTTTTAGTCATTAAAGGACAAGGGAGCATTGGTGTGACTTGGAAGAAAAGTAGAGTTTTAAAAATCAATTCTCTAATTAGTTATTTGGCAAATTCACACATATATGATGATTCACTGAGTTTAGTTGGGCTTGCTAGCATGAACTTGGGTAGGTTGTTTCCTGGAGCAAGGGCAACTGTTCAGTGACTGCACTACTGATTCCCTCTCTCTTAGTAACCATCAGCTGACAATAGTCTCTCAGGCAGGAATGGGGCCTCATGAGTTCTCCCCTGTCTTGTTCATGTCTTGTGTAGTTAACCACAGCTGGAGTGAGTCTATGAGAATAATGGTCATGACATGTCCATAAGATGTCTTTTTGTAGCATACCATCTTGTCCTCTGGTCCTTATATTCTTTTCACCGAACCTTGGAAGAAGAGTTGATATAGATGGGTTGATATATAGGGTTGAGCACTCTATCATCACTCATTCTTGGCACTTTGATCAGTTTGAATCTCTGATAGCAACGTCCAATTGGGTAGATGTGATCTTGTTTAACAATAGAGGATGTGTTTGGAGATGGTTTTTGTGAAGTCAGGGGCTCTTGAACAATCAAGTAGTTGACTTGGGCATAGGGTATTATTACTAGGGAAACAGTGTGGGCAAGGGGCATAGGAGGAAGTTAAGATTCAGTGATTTGGTCTGGGATAAGAGAGATGTATTTTGTGGTTAGCTATTTGTGAGCATTGAGTACCCAACATGACAGCTTGCTTGTGACTATTTAAAGTGCATTTAAACAATGAGAGGGGGCACACACACACACACACACAGAGAGAGAGAGAAAGAGAGAGAGAGAGAGAGAGAGAGAGAGAGACAGAGAGAGACAGAGAAAGACAGAGACAGAGACAGAGACAGAGATTGATTTTGCTTTTGCTTTCATAGTCTATATTGGAGAAGGATGCTCTGTTCTTTTGCCCTATGTAACCTATCAATATCTTCAGGAAATGCAGTTCCCTCTGAGGGTAATTTGCAAACAAACAGCTTTTTTTTTTTTTATAATGTCTGTAAGTGTAGGACAAGAAGAAATGGTCCTAAGTCATAGCAAGAAGAAATTAGAGTTAAGGGATGGCATTCTAGTTAACTTGTATATCAGATTCCCCTTTGACTCTGGGAATCATTGTTTTCTTTTCCGGTAGGAATTACATCACCCATCTCATTCCACATGTTCTCTTAAATGACAGTAAAAAGTAGATGTACCAATTTTCTTCAAAATTATGACTCTGAGTACTGATATTTGTTTTCTGGGATCTTTCATCCCCCTTCTTGAAGAGTATAAAAAGCAGAGGTAAAGTTTTTGTGTTCTGGGAGAGAGTTAGGAAGGCTCAAGACCACCATCTCCCTTTCTTCTTGTCTCCCTCTCACTAAGCTCTACACATACTTTCCTCTTACATTTCTTTGAGTGTTTATGCTGTCACTTTCTTCTTCAGAGAAGGTTCTAGTTCCATCTGGACATGACTGGATTCTGTGGCCACTTCAGAGAAACCACTGATCACACTGCCCAGAATCCCTCTCTCCTCTCTTTCTGGGCTGTCATGAAAATGACTCATTCGTCACATGTCAACTTATCACTCTTCCAATTGTTTGTCAGTTGTCTGTTTCTTCAATGAGAGTTCAAGCTGCAAAGTCCAAGGACTGTTTGCATTCTGTTAGCTATTTTATCTGCAGTGTCTAGACCGGAGCCTGGCAATGTACCTTAGATTTCATCCATGTATGTGAGGGGAAGAAGAGCTGTGTAAAGCTGATTGGCCTCCTCATGGACTGAAGGTTCTGTGCTGGCTGTATGTCCTGTCCTGTGCATTTAGGTAATGATAGCACTAAATTGACTGTCTGTTCTGCTGAATGACCTTGATTTTTCTTTAATTAAGTGAAATTAGGGGATTTATAAGAACACAGATTTAAGTATGCATGGTGTGGAGTATACAACAATAATGAATTCACCTGTCAGGTACTGTTTGTGAACCAATAACAGTGATTCAGAAATGGATGTACTCATTTTCCTTTTAAAGGGGGGAGACTGTGGGAAATGTCAAGGGAAGAATAAATGAGTTTGCGTGGACCTCAAAATGTTTGGAGGACATACAGTGATCCAGAACAAAGTCAACAAGGGCCATAGAACTATATGGGCTGTCTGGGATGGAGATAGAGGTTAATATATGTGCCAAATCTGTGCAGGTTTGTTGACAAATTTCAGCCTTTCTTTCTACAATATGAGGTTAGTCTTTTAAAATGATTGCATTTTCAGTAAGAAGACTGAAGTCACTGGCATTCTTTGGATAGCTTTGGTTAGATGGAGAAAGGGACTTTGCAGAGGTTGATCCCATCTTATAAAGGACTTTCTGATAATTTCTTCTGCGAGAGGGCACAAGACGAAATGGTTTCGCCTGCAGCCACTTTGCTACAGTGCTTCCCCTGTGATATTACTGAGGAGACGCCAAAGTCTTTGCAACAGAAATGCAATGAGGGAGAAAAAAATTAAAATCAGTTCTATCTTTGAAACTTTTTGAGGCAGACTGGACTCAAGGGCTTCCTATATTTCTCCTTGTTGGCAGACTCCTATGACTGATTAATATCAGTGATTGTAGTCATTAAGGGCTAGTCCATTAATTAATAGCTAACTAAATTAAGTTTTAGCTCCCCGAGTTACTTCTCTTTGAGGATTTATCCCTTGCCCTTGCTCCATGTATTTTCATAAATAACTGGAATCATGTCAGTCTCCATAAAGAGACTCTGAGACACAGGAAAGGAAATGCAGTTTGGAGTTAGAAAGACAGCTTGCCATGCCGCTATTACTGTATCCGAATATGCAAGTCCCTTATTCCCATTCCCTATGCCCAAAGTCTTCCTCTACAAAATGGGATGAATGGACTATGCCCCTGAAAGTGTTGTTGGAGGAAGTGAAATTATGTGAGGAGTGCTGGATCAAGTCCTTTTGAAGGGCACCAGTTTCCTTTCTCTAATGCAGAAGTATTGAAATTGAGTGGGAAAAGAGCAAATGTAAGCAAACGGTTTGGGTCCTCTGCTTGGACACTAGAAGCCACTTTTTGTTTACAGACAGAAGAGGGAGGCATGAGGAGACAGGGCTAGGAATGGAGATCCCATTCAAACACTTCCTCTCTGGGCTTGCTACAGTTTGGGCTTCTGTCCAGGTCTTAATGATTCCTCTGAACTCCACCCATCAGCTGTGTTTCCAGGCAACTCTCAGCCTCTTGGATTGCTGGGTGCCTGGATTCGAGCTGGGGGAAAATAAACTCTAGCTAAAACCAATCCTGAACACCAATCCTGAGACCCCGTGACCCTGGGGTGAAGTGGAATTTATTTGAGCTGCAGCCTTGTGTACACCCTTCCTTCTTCACCTGTGGGATTTGGATGTAATCAGGAGAGATAGCTGAAGTTCTTAACCCACAAACAGAACATAATGACCACTGTTTTGCTTTCCAAATGGACTATGTCTGTCCCCTGTGAAATCCCCAGATTGATTGTCTAAGCAGCTCTGTCACAGGGGTTCTTAACTGTGTGCAGGGCAGGTTTCTAGGAGTTACAGGCCCCTCTCTACCTATGGTGGGAAAGGAGAGGGATACAGTTTGGGAAAATGATGATTTTTATTAAGTTATAAGCATTTCCACCTTGGATGCATTTCAGAAGATTATGTTCCAGATGTTTGTCTGGAATCTCCCCTGGCCACCTGCGTGCTCATTGCCTCTGGGGTTATGTCCTTGTATCTCATAGTGGAGGCTCTTCTTTGCCTTCCAATAGCATTTCATTTTACATGCATGATCTGAATTAATCAGTATAGCATTGAGTATAATTGCCTCACTGCTGAGACTTTCAGCTTCCTATAGTGGTTAGCACATATTAGAGCCCCGTTTCCTCTGTTAGACAGAAGGCTTCATGAGGACAGGCTTTTATCTTGCTCACCTTAATGTTTTCTACAATGACTTGTTAAATCTATAGACAGAAAGATCCCATTTTGCTTAATCTGTTATTTTTCTTGGCTATTTCTGAGTATGTAAGCCCTGTGTAATTCCACTGTTCATTTGAACACGAGAAAAGAGAAATTACAATTTGTAATAAAGTAAAAATAGAAGTATCTGAAAGTGAAGAGTTGGAGAGTGACCTTGAATCTTCCCATTCCCAGAGGTCAGAGGAGAGCTCTTGTCCGGTGTAGACTTGTCCGGTGTAGTCCGGTGTAGTATGGGTGCATGTGTTAAGAAAGCCTTGTTCTCAAAGGGATACTGGGTTCTGTCTCTTCTTTTTTCCCAAAGAAGCCTCCTAGGCAAAGTCCAGTGAAGGATTGTGTAGTTTTCATACATCTTGGGCCTTGATTATGATAGACCTAATGATCTGCTAACCAGACCCCTGCTAAAGGCTGGGCCAACTCTACTGCCCCATCTTCCTGTTTTCTTTCTGCAGTTTGGCTGTTTTTTTTTCGTTCTCCAAAGCTATGATAATGACTTGTGTGCTAGTCCGATGAGCTAGTCAGTTTAGTCCTCCATCTATGGAGAGGTCAGGGTGTGGGAGGGCACAGTGTTCTTACTTGACGTTCCTGTCAAAAAGGTCATGGATAGATGCCAAAGTCACAACTTTCCTTGTTAAATATTAATGTGTCATTTCTCCTTGTAACTACTGAATCCATTTTAGCCTAATCCATTACTCTGTTCTTAGGAAGTCCTGTGATAGTCTGCCCTGCTAAAAATTTCCCTATATTTTTCCAAAATAAAGGAAGCATGGTTAGTGGAAATTATCAGAGACACATAGTCAAAAGTATTAAATTTTAATCTGAGACTTGTCACTTACTGTGCGTTGCTAAAATAAAATCTTTTTCTCTCTCTTTTGGGTGGTGGTGGTGGTGGTTTTACATTTGAGTATATACAGTCACTAGAGAAAATGGAGTAGGGGTTTTGGATCATTGGCTGGATCATTGTGAATATTGGAATCAGGTGGCTTGGCTTACAAAATTCCTTCCATTACATACTAGCCATGTAATTTGGAGACATTCACATGGTCTTTTAAGGGTAAGCTTCCTCACAGTCTAAAACCGGTAACAACAAGTAATAAATTCAAAGAACTGTTGCAAGAATGAAAGGGACAAAACAAGTTGCAAAAATGCTCAGCAAGATACCTAGCATATGGTAAAACCCCAACAGATGTTAGGTATTATTATTTACATTCATATAGACCAGCTGTGCAACCTCGGGTAAGGCTATTAAATCTTTGTTTCAGGACTGTGAGCTGTGAATCAGAGGACATAAAACCCAGTCTCACTGGGTTGCTGCTTTATCTACTGGAAATGAGTGTGTACTTGACTACCCACATTTCTTCCCTTAGAATTCAGGGTCTCATGTTCAGGACTGGTCTTTGAGATTTGTGGAGCCAATAGAGAGTTATTTCATCCCCATCTGTGATGGCTTAATAGACTTCAACCAGATCTTCCTTTCAGCTTTCGTTGTTGTTGTTTTTCTCGTCTTTCATTTTGGACTCTGTATTCATTTGACCGCTTGCCAAATCTTTTGGTCATCAATTTAATTTTCTGGCCTTTCTCCACCAGTGCTTTGTCATTCTTATGTAGCAACAAGCAGCGTGATCCTGGAATACACGTGGGTGTCAAATGTAGAATAAAAGCAGCAGAGAACTGATGTATTTATAGGTGGTGTTTATCTTCATAGATGTGACTATGTCCTGTCCAATCTGGGAACCAAAAGAAAGGAAAGTATAATTAAATAAGGTCTCCACATAGTACACAAACATGAAGAAGCCCTTTGGAAGTCGGAGCCAGTGACCTTACACTGGCCAGGTATTTTTCTTTTTAACTTACTGGCCAGTTCCTAGATTGCTGGCTAATGGCTCTTTGAAAGGCTGAAAAACTTAAGTGTGGCTGGAAGTCACAGAGGGAAAGGCTTTTCCGTGATAAGATAATAAGTACCCTTTTTAATGAGTCTGCCCATTACCACATTTTTTTGATAGACAGGAGGTAAGTGAAAAAAAAAAAACAAAACCAAAAACCCCAGACCAAAACAAAACCCAAACCAATAGCACTCTTGATCTGAATTGCTGGTCACTGATCCCTGGAACTGTTGACAAATCACAAATAGAAAAAAAATCATTTCTGACAATGAGAATTGGAAGAAGATTGTTCATTTCCTGGCACCAGGGAGGGAATAATTTGTTTGATTTCCAGGGGACCTGCTCTCAAAATTGTTTGGGAAGAAAGAAAAACTCATAAAATAACTTTAATAACATTTGGTGAAATCCATGACCTAACCAAAAGGTTTCTGGGTCTTTCTTGCTGAAATGCCAGTTTTAGGAAGCTAGTTTTAGTGATATCTCTTCCTAAATAACATCTCATTTGTATCTGTGCATGTCACGAATAACTCAGACTGACCAAATTCAAACGTTCAGCTGCTTGATGAGGGACAGAAATCCCCAGCTGGAGTATCATAACTATTCATCATAAAAGGGTGAATGCTGCTCTTTTGGTGTCTAGGGCTGTGACAGTTTAGAGACTGCAGACTCTCTGGCCTGGATGGGGATATAGATATCCCAGGCCCCAGGCTGCCATACTTCAGGAGTGCAGCTGGCATTTACAGACAGTGTTGCATCTGTTGCATTTGATGTCTGGCTGGTTAAATACAGTACCCTCTGCCATGCAGAGAATGTGATACTGTGTTCTTGAAGTCTGTCAGCTCACTAAAGAAGACTGAAAAAATGAAAACATACAAAACTAAGCTGATGCCCAATTCTAGACCATTTTAATCAGAATCCATGAGTTCTGGCCCCATTGAAGGAATTTGAAACACTCCAGGTA